AATCTTATTGACTTCCGTTTTTGCCTGCAATGATCATTCCAGCTGACTAACTTCTTATCTATTTAGATTTATATATGTATATCATCTAGTATCGTTGGGATGGCTGGCTCAACCACCAGCAAGTGCGTCTGGTCATCCACACACGCAGGCTTGATTTTCTTCCTGATTGTCGTCTTTGCTCGAAGCTTGCGATTGGATGGTACTTCCGATTAAACCTTGGATTGGTCGTTTATTGGCGCTCGATTTGTAGCCATAAATGTGGGAGTACAACAATCTACTGCACCATTCTTCAAAATCAATCCTCCAGGACATTGACCCTGTGGGTAAATCTTGGCAAATGGTTGGTCAGTGGGTTTCTTTTCAGCCATTTTGATGAACACAAAAATGCCAATGTCATATCGTTCTGCCCATGACTTTTCTAACGTAAAGTGGCTTGAAAAATGCAGCCCCAACTGGATTTTCAACAAACACTCTGAAGAGTTGGTGTGGGACATGCTCAGCACGGTCAGGTCTTTGCGGTATGGAGAATCAATGGTTGAATCAACGCGGGCATATACTTGCCTCTATGTATATGTTAATACGTAATTAATATGTATTATATATATAAATATTTAATATACATACATACAATATACGTAAAGAACGCGGATGAACCGGGGTATCATGCGTGTGTGACGTTGGTTTCGGTCCCTGAGATGCTGATACCAACTTACGTCTTGTGGGTTTGCATCGGGGTAGTTTTCCTGGCGCGGCTAAGATCTTCCACTTTGAACATGGGGAAATGATCTCGCAAATGGCAGTTGCTATCATGTATAACATTTGCATATATATCTAATATGTATATATATATATTATATACATATATATATATCATATGTATATGATACTGTATGTGTATACTTAAAGACTCATGTATCCAAAAATTTTTGGCGCATTCCCAACCTACAAAAAAATAAGGCGCAAGTCCACAAGAATGGCGCAATGTAGAAAACATCGCACAATTCCACAAAAACGGCGCAATGGAAATTCTGCACGGGCAAGGAAGGCACAATCACGGACAAAAACGGTGCAATCATGGGCAAAAACGGCGCATCCCAGCACCAAAATCTAAAACCATATTTGTTTCCCAAAGAACGGCGCATGCCAGAAATTTCAGCGGCAATCAGATGAAACACTGTTTCGCTAGACCAGCATCAAAATTTTGATGCCGCACGAGTCTCTAGGCATATATACTGTGTATATAATACATTTTAATACTGTATATGCATATGTATGCATGTATATATATATATATATTATATATACACACACATGGTTTCACGGGGAAAATCATCATCAACCACTTCAAAAAGGGTACCCTATGTTCGGATCCATTTGGGTTGGGGGTGGCCCAGACCAAACAAAGACAAAGACCCATGGCAGCCCCTGGGAATCGTCCCAGGACATCATTTAATTTTGCCCCGAAGTCCGGCCTACGGAGCCTACGACCCAGCATCGGAGTGCACGCAGGACCTTGGCAGCGTGGGAAGTGTCCTGAGAGTTCGTGAAGTCTATGATACACGCATACAATATAACATAGTACCGCACAAGGCGGTACTCGGAAGTTTTAAAGATAGTCAATTGTTGTGATTCATTTCATGGATGGGAGAGTCTATGTCTCTCTCTCTCTCTCTCTCTTTACGTCTCTTTCTCTCTCTTTCTCTCTCTATCCATTTGTCTATCTATCTATCTATCTATCTGTCTATCTACCGATTTATCTATCTGTCTCTATCTCTCTCTATCTCTCTCTATCTCTCTCTATCTCTCTCTATCTCTTTCTATCTCTCTCTATCTCTCTCTATCTCTCTCTATCTCTTCATATCTATCTCTCTGTATTATTCATCTCTCTATATCTATCTCTCTATATTTATCTCTCTATCTCTCTATCTCTCTATCTCTCTATCTCTCTATCTCTCTTTATCTATCCATCCATCCATCCATCCATCCATCCATCCATCAATCCATCTCTCTATCCATCCCCCCATCCATCCATCCATCCATCCATCCATCCATCCATCCATCCATCCATCCATCTCTCTATCTCTCTATGCATCCATCCATCCATCCATCCATCCATCCATCCATCCATCTACCCATCCATCCATCCATCCATCCATCCATCTATCCATCCATCCATCCATCCATCTACCCATCCATCCATCCATCCATCCATCCATCCATCCATCTATCCATTTGTCCTTCCAACCATTCATCCATTGACCTATCTACCTATCTATTTATCTATCCATCTATGTATCCATCGATCTATCTATCTATCTGCCTGTCTGTCTGTCTATCTATCTATCTATCCATCTATCTATCCATGGATCGACCTATCTATCTATCTATCTATCTATCTATCTATCTATCTCTCTATCTATCTATCTATCTATCTTTCTTTCTCCACCTATCTATCTCCACCTATCTATCTCCACCTATCTCAATCAACTATCTATCTACCTATATCTGTCTATTTATTATATATCCATTTGCCTGTCTGTCTATCTATCTATCTGTCTGAAAAGGAAGCAATTATGCTAGACTTCCTTCAAAAGTCGAAGTTGACGAATCCAAAAACAAAGCAAACCTGCGAGACATCCTCAAAAACAAGAAGTTCTGAGCCCCAAAACAAAGCAAGTCTGCGAGACTTCCTCAGTCAGTTTTGGAAATTCACAACATCAAAAACGAAGCAACTCTGCGGGACCTCCTTCATACATGAAAAGTTGAGTGCAGAGCTGACGGCCTCGTACCGACGCGTTTTGCGATTTTTCCTCCCCACCTGTCTAAAGTATTGCACTTGCCACGAAAAGTGAGGCTTTGTCATAGGAAGTGCTGCACCTGTCACGCAAAATCATCGCTTTCAAAACTGCTGCACAACCCGCAAGTTTGGCTCACTTTTTGCAATGGTCACTTGAATGTCCAAAAGTGGTCGAAACGCGTGGTGCTTTTACAATTTTCATTTTGAAATGTGCTTCCCGCCACAACCGCGTGCACTTTTTGAACATCTCAATTTTGAAAAATGCTCCAGTTTGACTTCCAAACGTGCTTCGCACCACCAAAAGTGCTGGAGCTTTTGGCATTTTGACTTTCAAGCGTGTTTCTCACAACAGCCACGTGCACTTTTTCAAGGGCTCAACTGCCAAAAGTTTTAGCTTTTCGACTTCGAAACGTTCGCGCCATAATGGCGTGCACTTTCAACCGCTCAACTTCCAAAAATTCTTCGCCCTGCTTCGCGCCACGGCCGCGTGCAATTTTTGATCTCTCACCCCCCGAGAAGAACCCGCCCCTTTAGCGAGCCTACCTTTCGACCCCCCGGGGCCACAAAACATCGGAAACACAGAGCGTTTCGCGACCTCTCTACCTTTTTGCGCGCTTTGATCTTCTTTCTAGTGACTCTCTTTTCTGATTTTTTCTCTTCAGACTCTTGCTCTTCTCTGACTCTTCTCACCACTGCTGCCGCATCTGTCCACAAGTCGGAAGCTTGACTTCTAAACTTCCTTCGACAAGTTTATCTATCTATCGATCGATTTATCCATGCATCCATCGATCGATCTTCCCATATTATCTATTTGCCTGCCTATCCTGACCTGCCCATCTGTCTTTCTATCTATCTATCCCTCTTTATCTCTGTCAAACCAAATTTACGCTAATCCATTTGACTCTTCAGAATCGAATCCGCTGTAATGTAACCTAACCTAATCCATCTCTATATCCATACATACATATTTATATATGTTCATGTCCTCACATAATATCATTGCATGTGTATTTAATTAAGTATTTTCTATATATTTATATATATATATATGTATACATATATATATATTTATTATTTTGTATGTAGGTACAGATAGATATGTACATGTATATGCGTTGCACTTGGTGAGTTATCCGATTTGGTAAGTAGATTGGCCCAAATACAAGTAGGCAAATCCTACTTGTTCTGTTTGTTAAAGCTAGTCTATATATATTTATATATATAGAGTATATGTATAGATAAATGATCTGTGCTACAAAGAAGGTGCATATATATATATATATATGCATATTCACTCATTCATTCATTCATTCATTCATTCATTCATTCATTCATTCATTCATTCATTCATTCATTCATTCATTCATTCATTCATTCATTCATTCATTCATTCATCCATTCATCCATCCATTCATTCATTCACTCATTCATTCATTCATTCATACATACATAAATCCATACATCCATAAATCCATACATCCATAAATCCATACATCCATGCATCCGTGCATCCGTGCATCCATGCATGTATGCATATATGATTGCATACATACATACATACACACACACACATATATATATATATTTGGAATCCCATCAAACCATCAACCCCGCATCAAGACCACGTATATTAAAAAAAAAAAACATGTCATGAGAAGGAATGCTGTTTCAACGTGTTGGAACTTCGCAAATAACAATGTATTTTGCCCCGCTTGTATACCGTACCCATATTTTGGAATGGTTACCAGCCCATATCAACCCATTTTTTGAAGGATTTATACCATTATGTCATTATGTCTGGATTCCCATCACAGGATGGATAAATATACCCATTCATGCACGGTCCGGCTGGTTTCCTTCAAAAATCACCTCGATCCAGGCATTTGAACATATTAAGCCTTACATATCCTTACATCATGACCAGAAGATGCTACAAACCTTCAAGGGTATCTATACGTAGAGGTAGATATGCCAGCAATTTCTCTGCACCAATCATCCAAAGTACGTCCACTTTAGCATGACTTTCGGCAGTAATTACCATGGTATTCCCATGAAAAATTCCATGGATATAACCATTAATATCCATTAATACCCGTTAAACATGATTAACCAATAGTTCCACCATGATTCATACACCATCTCCACTTTAGTCAACCCAGTCTTGCCCCATTTGTTTTCATGAAAAAACGTCGAGGATTTGTCCATGATTCACCTCTGGAGTCCCCGGAAAAAAAAATTCTGCTGTGCGCAGAGAAGTCGTTCGGTGATCCCACTGGGATCATTTCACTGGTGCGATGGGTTGGCGCGTGCCCAATAAATTACTGCAAATAAGGAGGCGGATTCTATCGTTTATGGTAGATATATCATTGATATATCTATATATATATATATTTATAATATATCGAACTCGATTTCATGGGTGAAACTAAACCCAAAAATAAAACTCTGAGAGAACCACGGCAGCACCGTAAAATGGGAAGTGGTTTGCAAGTGAGGCTACCACTTGGTAGATCGGATAACTCCAGCTGGGGACTTTATGAACGAGGATTATGAAACAACCACTGACTAACAACTGGGATGGGTGTTTTTTTCAGTGCATGCTGCATCTAAAATGGGGGTTCCACATTCCACTACAAAAAGATGGATCTACTTAGCCATCAAAACATGGGTAAACCTTGGTTGTGTCCATTGATGGGTACTGTAAGCCTTTTGTGCTAGAAATGGGTTTTAAAGTGGAGTCTGACTGGTAGGTTTACCAGCAAAACTTAATCATGGATAATTTATGGGTACAGTACGTGGTTGGCTGTGTTACCCTGTCAAAACGAAAACCTTAAGTCGCCCTTGTCAATTTGTACTTATACATATACATATATATATAGATATCGTAATATATCCCCGACATTGAACTAAGTGAGATGATCCCCTCATTGCACTCCCCAAGAGACACTTGGATCCCTTAAAAACCTTAGCAGTTTGGACGATTAATCCACAATTCATTCATTGCATCAACATTCAACCCGTTTCGGTGATCCCCCAACAATAGGAGATAAGAAACCAAAGGATATACAGTAATACAGAATGGAGGGCTATTTATGTTTGTTTTTTTTCACGGCAGGTTTTGGATTTTTTTTGGGTTCCTGGTTCTGTGCTTCCCTGTTTCTCTGATTTTCTGCTTTTCTGCTTCTCTGCTTACATTGCTTCTCTGCTTTTCCTGCTTCTCTGCTTTTCTGCTTCCCTGTTTTTCTGCTTTTTGCTTTCCCTGCTTCTCTGCTTTTCCTGCTTCTCTGCTTTTCCTGCTTCTCTGCTTTTCTGTTTGTTGCTTTTCGTGCTTCTTTGCTTTTCTGCTTCTCTGTTTTCCCTGCTTCTCTGCTTTTGTACTTCTGTGCCTTTCTACTTCTACTATTCTACTTTTTCTTTTCTTCAGTCATGTGTTTTTGCTGCTCTACTTCCTGCTCCTTTGCTTCTTTGCTTCCTGTCTTTACTGTCTCTTTGTTTTTCATGTTCTTTTTCTTTATTATGTTCTGTTTGTATCCTAAATGAAACCCTAGAGAGACCCTAGGGTCCTAGGTGAAACCCAAACAAACCCTAAAGAAATCCTGATAAGAAACCCTACATGAAGCCCTAAATGAACCCTAAAGAAACCATAAATGAACCCTAAAAAAAACATAATTTTCTAGAGGCAACATTCCCATATTCAGAAAATCTTCGCATACCATGTTTTATCGTACGCCAGACCTGGGTTTTGGTATGTTACTTTGATAGGCATTTCAGCTCAATCTGGAGGGAACAGTTGGGCCACGGCGAATCCACTGAATGCCCCTCCACAGCTTTCTATCCCCTATGTCGTTCCAAAGCAGCTGTGGACGTTGAATGAATTGAAGGCTGCTTTGATACCGAAGAAGGACAGGGTTGTCAAAGGTAACGTTTTTAAAGGTTGGCTGAGTAAAAATTAGCAAGTTTATTCCCCGGGACCTCACCCAAGGTGAACTCGGAAAAGTAGAACCCACTGGTGTGCCCCTGGAAGTTTGGGCTGGCTTTGGGATTGGAATTTTGGTTCTGGCCCCGAAATTTCCCTATGTGGTCTCTATACCAGCCACGCATACTCGGAATTCTTCGCATTCCACAAATTCTTCGCACTCCAGCGAGGGCATCGCACTCCACAGCTAGGGGCGTACACATACTGTAAAATCCACGCACTCTGCAAGATCTTTGCACTCCATAAAATCTTCGTACTCGGTAATTTTCTCGTTTTTTTCTGTTTTTTTTTTGGCTAAAATCGCCTGGAATCACGTTTTCTGGAATATGGGGAAGATGGAGTTTTCGCGTGAGACGTCTGTAGTTTCACATACTATCTCATTCCAGACCACTTTGGCCAAAAATGCCCCCCCAAAAAAAGAAAAGAACAAAAAAAAGCTCAGCAGGGTGAATTGTGATAATTTTCTGGTATATGATGGAAAAAACTGGTGTTGGATCCATGGGGCAGGTCGAAGGGGGCCACGCATACTGGCATACTGTTTTATTTTCGCATTCCAGAAAATTAGCGCACTCCAGGGGTGTCATCGTACTCTATCGGTGGAATTATTTTGCACGGAAGAAAACAGGATCGTCGATGATTTGTGTTCCCAGATCCTGTTGTGCAGAGCTCTTTGCGGGGCCACAAAGATGTCAAGAAAGATGGGGATGGCGCTGCTGGTGAAAGGCCAGCCAAGCGTGCCAGATCATAAGCTTAAAGCTTATGAATTGGGTTTTGAGATCCTGAAAAGTGTAGATGACAAATTCCCATAAGAACATTATTAATCCATTTTCGGAAAGCTCAACATTCTTAATTATGACATTTCCAGAAATTGTTGAAAGTAAGGATCTTCTTTGGGGAAGAACATGTGCAGTCGACAACATACGTGCCAGAAGAAAAGGAGTACTTGGCAAACTGTATGACATACAAATTTCACCTGAAAGGGGTCTTCGCAATTCCCTGAAATTTCCCAGCTATTTTGGCATGGAAATATGTTCGGCCCTGGAATATGGGCAAGAAATTGCTAGAAAATTAATCCTAAAGACACCATAATGAAACCCTAAAGAAACTTTAAATGACACCCTAAATGGCATCCCAAAGAAACCCTAAACAACACTCTGACAAAGAATCACGGTCGGACGGCCTGTTCACGCGCGGCCGACTTGGTTTTTCATCTTTGCTGAGTCAGAAGTTTGGCTAGTTGAACAAGAAGTCAGCGTCCTCCTACGAAAAGGCTGTCTGAGGATGCCGACCTAAAGTGCCGAGCCTGTGGAGCAAGTTACATGGAACGTTAACATCCCCCCCACCCCAGCGTGGCGTAGCATCAACAACGTGAGCAAGTTACATGGAACGTTAGCATCCCCCCCCACCCCAGCGTGGCGTAGCATCAACAACGTGAGCAAGTTACATGGAACGCTAACATCCCCGCTCCACCCCAGCGTGGCGTAGCATCAACAACGTGAGCAAGTTACATGGAACGTTAACATCCCCCCCACCCCAGCGTGGCGTCGCATCAACAACGTGAGCAAGTTACATGGAACGTTAACATCCCCCCTCACCCCAGCGTGGCGTAGCATCAACAACGTGAGCAAGTTACATGGAACGTTAACATCCCCCCCCACCCCAGCGTGGCGTAGCACCAACAACGTGAGCAAGTTACATGGAACGTTAACATCCCCCCCCACCCCAGCGTGGCGTAGCATCAACAACGTGAGCAAGTTACATGGAACGTTAACATCCCCCCCTGTACCATGTTACATCAGTTGTTCTGCCCTCCCCGGGGCAGCATTGTAGAGAAGCAGAAAACACTGTAAAAAACAGTGCAAAATGCACATTCAGCAGTGTGTCTGCGCGTGAACACCCCGTCGGAGGGAAGAACCAAATGAAACCTTAACTGACACCTTAGCTGAAACCCTAAATTTACACCCTAAAGAAACCCTAAAGAAAAAACGTAAACCCTAAAAGAAACCCTAAAGAAACCCTAAAGAAACCCTAAATGAAACCCTAAAGAAACCCTAAAGAAACCCTAAACGACACCCTAAATGAAACCTTAAAGGAGCCCTAAAGGAACCCACTTGAACGTTTAGAAATTGTGAAAGGAAATCCTGATAAGAAACACTGGAATCAAACCCTAAAGAAAGCTTAAATGAACTCCTGAATGAAACTGAAATTGAAACCCTAAATTGAAACCCTAAAGAAACCTTAAAAGAAACCCTAAAGAAACTCTAAATGAAACCCTAAAGAAACCCTAAATGATACCCTAAATGAAACCCTAGAGAAGCCCTAAAGAAACTCTAAATGAAACCCTAAAAAACCTGAAATGAGAGCCTAAATGAAGCCCAAACTGAAACCCTAAAGAAACCCCAAACGAGACCCTAAAGAAGCCCTAAAGAAACCCATTTGAACGTTTAGAACTCCTGATACGAAATTCCGATAAGAGACCCTACATGAAACCGGAAAAACAAACTAAACGAAACACTAAAGAAAACCTAGCCCTAAAGAAACCCTAAATGAAACCGTAAAAAATCCTAAGTGAAACTCTAAATGAAACCCCAAAGAAACCCTAAATGAAACTCTAAATAAAACCCTAAAGGAAGCCCTAAATAAAACCCTAAGTGAAACCTTAAATGGCACCCTAAATGGAAGCCTAAAGAACCTTCAAGAGACCCACGTGAACGTTTGAAGTACCAAACCGTAGCAAATACCATGCAAATGAGAGGTTGAAATGCCAAAATGTGACAAATACCATGCAAAATGAAAGGCGACCATGGCCAAAAGTAGCAAATACCAGGCAAAATGCAAAGTGACCGTGCCAAAATGTAGCAAATACCATGCAAAATGACAGGTTCTAGTTCCAAACTGTTGCAAATACAAGGCAAATGGTACCAGGAAAGAAAGCCAAATAAACATCCAAAACCTGAGGCAAAAAAAATACCAAAAACTATTCCACACCAATACAGAATAGGGGCTCTTTAATCTCTAGACCATTTGAAACACACGAAGAGATGGATGTTGTCGGTGAAGAATATCCCGAACTCTTATTGGCTTCTGGTAATCGAGCAGTTCGGTAAATCGGTAAATCATAGATCTAAATAGACAAATGTCAAATGTTCATCAACTTTCCATAGCAAGCTCTTGTTGGTGTTGTTAATAATCAATTCTTGGGTATATAACATGATATTACAACAACATATAACATAACATCATATAATATAACAGAACATGATATAAGAATATAAAATAATTTGATACTATTGTATATATAATAAACTATAACAGAATTTGATATAATACAATATAGAACAATATGATAAAATATAATTTAATATAATACAGCATCGTATAATATGATGTAGTATAACATAATATAATATAAAATCATATGATGCGACATAATACAATATACAATCATATGATATAACATAATATAACATAATATCATATCATATCATATGATATAACATAATATAACATAGCATCATATTATATTACATGATATAATATAATATTATATAACTTAATATAATATAATATAATATAATATAACTTAATATATAATATAATATAATTCAATATAATATATAATATAATATAATATAATATAACATATAATATATATATATAATATATATATATATAATATATATAATAATAATAAGAAGAAGAACAACAATAATAATAATAAGAACAATAATATACATTCATATATGTATGTACATCCCAAGTTTCCTTTTCTTCATATTGGTTTCCCTTGGCCACTGAGCTCTCGAGGAATAGGCTGCGCTGCCACCACTACCGCGCCGGAGCCAGAGCCTCCCGAGCTGTCCTGCGACGGCAGCGTGGCCAGGTGGTCGAAACGAAAGACAGACGCTTGGAGCGCGCTGACCGGTGACCGCTGGTGGTTTGGGAGGGGAAAACCATGGGTAAAACCCCAAGAATACTGGTGGTTTTATGATGTTTTTATGGTACTGAACCATAAAAAAGTAACCAACCATAGTTGTGTGTTTTCTTTGATTGAAACAACAAGAATCGAGGGTTTGGAATCCTTGGAAACAACAGTTAACTGATGTGACCGATGTGTATCATTATTTATCGGGGTAGATACAGATAACATGAATACATGCAGGAACACTGCAAGTTGAGAAACCTGATCAGATCACACACAGATTCATTACTATCATTACTTGATGATCCACTAAAACACAGGATATGATCCACAAAATGTATCAGCATACCTCATTCTTGGAGTGAATACCAGTTTTTAAATTCAGAAAGGTGGTAACCTGCCACTTTTTAAGTGACATTCTCATGGCAGCTTTGCCGCCCTTTAAAAGTACTTAGGACTGGTGCTGTCGACATAAAGGTGTCGCCTGCAGTCCTCCTCCACGAACCATGCCATACAACTGCCACGAACGGCCTCTGGAAATTTGGTCGCTGGGAAAGAAACTTTGGTGCTGTCAGAACTACCAGGCAGGAATCTGTGGGGCACAACCTCAGGTTAAAACATGCCCAGGCTACGATGTTTTTTTGGGCTTTTGGGATTTACACCTGGGAAAAGGGTAGTTGTTCATAATGTCATAGTTCATGTGTCTCTTTTCATGGGGTTCTCGGTTCATTTACCATCTATTATACGTCATTATACCTCTTATCTTATGGGCTTCTCTTGTACTGATACCTGCCACTGGCACGAAAAGAATCCAGACGAGGTCGGGGATCACCCTCATGCATCTCCCTGTTTGTTTGAGGTTTATGAATTTGACACCAGCCAGTAAAAAAAATAATAGAATGAGGATGAATGAGGTGTGGATGACTTTTGGTTGTTCCATGGTGTGTGAAAATAGTTGGATTATGCAATCCCAGTGAGTTTCGGTGGTGAATATAGCTGTATTTTTGCATCCTTGAATGGGATAATCCCAGCTGGTGGCCTTATGAATTATGATTGCTATATTGGGCTTGAACACAAATCAGTTGCCCCTACAGTACATTCCATCAAGTTCAACCCCACTATCTGAGTTGAGCAATGTATTCTTTTCAGGTTGAGTACACAAAATTCCAATGATTTATTACAGTAATGTGTTTTTCCTATATAAACAAATGCCATGTGGGGAAAAATGAGGCCCCAACCATACATTGAACACATAGAACATTGGACAGGCCCTTAGGATCCGGTCCTAAAGAGGATCTCTTGGGATCCCTGATGTGGCGAGCGTCGATGTCTGACGAAATGCAACATAGGAGATCTGCCAATCTGAAGGCTGCCAAATCTTAAGTGTTTTGCAGTTTTTTTTTCCAGATGTTTCCAGATAAAAAGCAACGTGCCAATTCTTGCTCTGTGCTAGGTGGGCTGTCCGCATTATCACGTGACTACCGTGTCTACTCTTCCCTTCGATTGTGATGCCGGCGACGCGGCTGCTTTTTGTTTCGTGTATGGGTATGGGTGTATCAATGGTCCCCAAAATAACTGGGTGATTTTTTTTTGAATCGTATGTTTGGCCACAAAGCTAAACAATGACATTTATGGGCGTCCACGGCTTCCACTGTTCTGGAGTAGCTATATTGCAATGGGTCAGCCATGCCTTGGAGTGCATGCAACAATTTTCAATAACTTGTTAAAAAGTTGTGTCTCAAAGTTGGAACGTCAACATTCCATGGTTTCACCTTTTCACTTTTAACCCATCATTTTCCCCAGAAGATGCAGTTGGGCGCCTGAGGAGCTCATTTCTTGCACGGATGGTCGATTGCCAAGAAGGCCAGTGGTTTATTTTTGGCTCCGGGCATCACCTGTTGGACATTTGAACCAAAGCTGGGATCATTGAATACACGGTTTGAGGACTGGAAGTATGGCATGGTATGACTATATAGAGCTACAAGTGCATACTTCAAAAATACAGGTGTAGTCGGTATAGTCTCAAGGTATCTATCATCTCGGTATCCATTATGAGGGTTGGCTTTTTGGTTGGTGATGTAATTCTCCCCTTCAACCTTTGTTACCCCGTTTTGAAGCCAATCCTGAAGCCGCTTGATAGCATCGAACGTATATTAGATTCAATTCAGATCCAAATATATAAATGGAATAGTGAATTAATGATATTTCAGTTACCCATTGTATATTACATCACCCATTCTTTGTTACCATAGTCTAGCAGGGCTGCCAAACTCTCTTCGCTGGATGCTGGATGTTCACTCCCATGGTCCCATGGTCATGGGGTCACCAATCCATGTTCATACGGATATAATATATATATATATTATATATATATATTATATATATATTATATATATATATTATATATTATATATATTATATATATATATATATATATTATATATATATATATCCATGATGAGGAATCCCATTCATGATGATTGGATGGCCATACTACCGTGTATATATATATATAATGTAACTAATATATTAATGTTTTATATCCCACTTACATGAAATATATCACAGCAAGCATTCTATGGAATATTCCAATTGTACCATGATATCCATACGTTTTATTACATTAAATCTCATGTTTGATGGTTCAACCACAACATTTTTTTCAGCCAGGCTTTCTGCTGCGCAGAGTTCCATGTGGGTTGCGTCGTGACCGCCCCAGCCCCAGCGCCGGCTGCGATGCCCTATGATTGCCATGCGGGGTATAGCAACTGGAGGCTGGTGACTGTGGGGAAGTGTCAGGATTTCTTTCAACAGATTCTGGGTAAATTCGAGCGACCCAAAAAAACATATAGATTATTGTTAGGGGTGCAAATCATCCCCGCCTTAGGAAATTTCAATGATGTTTTTTCCAGATGTTCACTACGGTACCGTACAGTATGTTCATTGGGTACAGCAGAGCCGTTGGTTTGATATATCACGTCGAGTTTACGGTATGCTGCTCTCAGCTTCCCTGAGACAGATGTTCACTTGTTAGTCACGTGTTTTTTTTCTGAATTGTGGGCTAACCAAAGATGAATATGCTCGATGCAACAAAATGAAGCATACTTGACGGGCATCCTGAAATGTTCAGCCATAAGCGAAACCGCCAGTCGACCCTTGGTTGATGAAGCACATCCGTCAAAACATCACTGCAGGGAAGATATTCCTGGTGGCTATTGTTGACCGAAATATGAGCAGCTGATGGCCGGTGAGGGCACGTCACCATCCATGTACGACATGTCGATTGACAATTCACTAGGTGATGTTCGGATTTCGGTATCGGGGATAGATGCTGTCTTATCTCTTACATTCTCTTACTGTAGCATCATGATTCACCAATGTTAACCAACCTGCAGAAACCAATGCCATGAGGGTAGGAATTTCACATGTAGCTCGCATCAGGCTTTTTTTGGTTTTGTCAGAAAATATGGTAATTATACCCCGCAATTCCCATGCTTGCTAAATATTATTACCCTCTGGTAAACTAACATAGCTATGGAAAATCACTATTTTTAATGGGTAAATCCACTATAAATGGCCATTTTCAATAGTTATGTTAAATTACCAGAGGGTAAATGCTCTGATCCGACTGTCACTGTTCAACAAACGCAATGTGACGTGGATTGAATCCATGATTTTATCAGACACACCCAAATATAGTCATAGTATTGCTTACTACACATATATATATATAATTATATATATAATTATATATAGATATATATATATATAATTATATATGTTTATACATACATATTCTACACAATTCCCACTTTGTCCCGATATTATTATATATATATGCATCAAACAAACCACCAAGACATATAAGGCGTTCCTAGGGTCGTGCCACGAGATTGGTACGGTGCGGTATAAAAATTGCAGGAGGGGCTGGTCGGAGGGAAAGAAGAGCTTCTGCTGCCAGCACTTCAAGTGGCTTGGTGCTGCAAGGGAATGGGCCATGGAGTTAGTTAACTCTTTGATACTGAGGATGGTTGCGAAATCCTGCACCAGTTGGTAAGTAATGGGATTCTATAAAACACTGGTAAATAATTGGGATGATAATGATAACGGGATGTTTACCACCACTCCATGTGGGTTGAACCCACGTACTAATTATAACTTGTAACATCTTACAATCCAGTTTCTTTGATCCGGTCATCAGGGCCCCATCTAAGTGCAGAATCATCCCCATCTAAGTGCAGAATCATCCTGAAAGTTTGCCTTGACCGTGACCGATTGGATGTCCGACCGGATGTGGGTCAAGGTGAAATAAACCTAACAATCCTCCGTAAACCTTAGTTGGGTAATGTTAAGTTAGAATTATAGATCTACGAGGGATTACAGTAATCAACCACCACATATTAGTTTCTTTGTTTCCTCTTTTCACCAAGTTGACTTTTGCATGGGGCGTATGTGCGACCCCACTGTATATTTATTTTCTTGCAGGTCATCAACCATGAGCCCACGTAGCCGGAGAGGATTTTCACAGAACATCTCAGAACTATCCATGTCCCCCCTGCAAGCAGGGTCCCCCAGCTATGCTTGTTGCTTTATGCTAGCGATTCATAGATCTGATGGCACAATGGTCCAAGTTGGATGTGCATCCTGAGAATTCTTTGTGGTGGATAACTATAGTAACTATAGAGTCATGACCCAGTTGGAAAAGGGGATAAAGCCCGGTTATGGGCTGAAAAAAGGCACTTCACTGGGATGCGCATCCATGAACAAAAAAATGTGACAGTTCTTCCATGGATTCCGAAGTTGCCAGAAGAAATTGTCTTGCCAGAAAGACGGCAGTGGTTTGATGGAACGTGACATTTGGAGGGTTATTTTTGACCGACATGGGAGGTGTGCGGCTTTCATTCATGTTTCAAAGAGAATAATAAGAAGAAGAATGGTTCTTGTTTTGTCTTTAAAACCGTGTTAATTCATGTTCAATCTTAATCTGCGAATTGCTTTTATTAGTACTTCAGCTTCAGGAACGGCCACAAAAACATCAAATGGTCAGTGATCAGTGAGTCATAAGCTGCTGTTGTTGGCTCCACTTGGTTCACTGCGCAGTCTCGTCTCCATCACGTGTCACCAGTGCATCAGAATGATGAATGGAACAACGGTTAATTATCCCAATTATGAACAATTCATCGTGAAATATGTTTGTTATAGATTTGTTGACATCCCAACGTCTCTTTGCTTCCGGTCCATTTTTCTGAAAACAAAATCAACGGACCAACGGACCATCTGACGATCTGGCTGGCGATAGCATTTTTTCCGCCGTCAGAATCGGGATGAACATGACACATTCGCACAAGGAGAGGTTGCTCCAGCGATCCCTATGACTGCGATGCAGGCTTTTCCAACTGGAATCTTGGCAGAAAGGGCCACTTTTTTGAAGCAACAGCTAAGCAACAACATATCCCGTTGATATCCGCATTTAGAAAGATGAACATATGTGAACATATGTGAACATATATGAACATATGTGAAAATATGTGACCTTTGCCTTAAATCTGTTAAACAGAAGGATTCATCATAGCGGATGCCTATTTTTGACCACCTGGATCACCTCGGGGGTATCGGGATATCCCGTGTCTGTCTTCGCTGATGAAATACCACGGCTTCATTAGCGAATGGGTGCCCTATTCTCTTGATTTCCTATCCTGGGTTTATCATGTTTCATCATCTTTTATCCCATTTTTGATCCAATGTTTGATCCAATTTCATCCACAAGTGCCATAGATCAACCCCTGGCCGACTGGTATTTCTTTGCCAGCGCTCATGGATTTATCATGATTTATCATGATTGTATCAAAGTGTATTCTTTTGATTGTAATTCTTTGATGAGTGGAGTCTTGCTAATATTATCTAATATTATGTGACACCATGTTACACCCCCGTTTTCTTGATGTATTGTTCCATCAAAATAGCAGATGTTCATCCCCTAAGTTTTTACCACTCCCCGATGTGTTCTTTCCATCCCGATGCGGGATCAACATCTCCCGTTGGGAACCAACCCCTCACTGATAGCTGGTGAAGAAACCCAAAACATAAACCCACACATTATTGGGGGGTATCCCGGTATCCCAATATATCATATAATATATATATATATGATTATATATGCATATGTATGTACATTTACATAATATATCCTTATATTTGTTGATCGATCCCATCCCCCAATGATTAAGCACCCCATGACACCCCCATTCCATGGTCCCAAGTATGTTTTGCCATCCCCTAATAAGCCATGGATCCATGGTTTCTTCTGGAGTGGCGTTTTAACAATATATATATATATATTATATATACATAGGTGGAAGGGGTTGCTGAACTTCCAGAGTTTACCCAAGTCATCTTCCATCCTCCAAGACTCCAAGCCCATCCATATTTGTCGATTAAGTCCCGGTTGGGGTTCTGCCGCAAAAACTATCTCCCTAGTTTGTTGGTTATAACCATTTTATCCCATAAGTATCCCATCAGTATCCCATCAGTATCCCATCAGTATCCCATTAAATCGTATTAAACCACCATTTTTCATGGATAAACTAAGGTTGTTGATCTCCATATTGCTTGGATCTCCCGCTTTGCACGACGCGCGATCAGGCGAAGAGGCTGGTCCGACGGCAAGAAGACGTGGTGCTGCCACCATGGGGGCCGCGGGTGTGCGAAGGCCTCAACCTATGACTGTGATGTAGGCGCCCCGGGACGGGGGAAAGCGGTGCCATGTTTCAACCACAACTTGGAGCTGGTGAGTTTTTTGAAACTGTTGATTTTCCCGGGAGAAACTTGGTTTCCATCCGTAGGGGATAGTTTTTTTTTGGGAGTTCCTTGAGCAAATCCAAGACAAACTTGGGGGGGTCATTTCCATCATCCCATAAATAGTCGTACCCACAACAATAAACCACTAATTAGGGATTGTTTATTGTTAGGTTTACCACTAATTAACGGGATTTATCCAATAATGAGCGGTTTTAACCACAATAATGATCCATATAAAAAAAACTGGTGGTTTGAGCGATTTTCTCATCATAAATGGGGATACGGAATGGGGAGATCAGGTGTTATAATGGGATATATAATTATATATATATATATATTAAATGTATATTACACATTATATGTCTTAGATGTGGTGAAGAATTTGGGGAAAACAATCACAAACAAACTCACAGACTCAAGATGTTGCTAAGTTTGGGGAAACATCTACTGTAAATACAACACTGAGATTTGCGGCCCTAAGTATGATCTTGTTTGTGACGGATATGCAACGCGAGGATATCACCAAAGCTCTTGTTTGGATTGAACCAGCAAGACATGTGGACTTCACCAGCCATTTGATTTAGGTAACATAGCCTGGGACGTCAAGCACATGGGGATTTGGAGATCAGGGAAAGACAGTTTCCAGTGGCTGCCGGGTAGTTTCTGGGCCCACTCGTGAATGGTAGGATAAACATGTGTTTTAAATTATGTGTTATCACTCATGAGTGGAATGAATATCCAAGGATCAGTCAGAGAGCGTGTGGGTGTCATTTTCGAAGACGGTGAAGCCAGCACAGGTGTTGCCAACCGAGATGCCCTTTGGAGTCCCGGAAAGAAAACCTGGTGTTGCAAACATGCGAAGCGCGGATGCACCAAAGTCTCTCGGTGGAAGTCAGGGCCCGTGTTTTTTCGTGTGGAACTGGCACATACTGTAGGGTTTGGAAGATGGTTTTCAACGTTTTTCTACTGGATGTGGCCAGTTTTAGATTTCAACTCAATTTTTCTGACAATGAAAGGCATGCAGGGAATGGACTGGTTGAGTTTGAATTGTGCATGCAGCAATGCAGTGCAGATGCTTGATTACACATCTGTGCTTAAGATGAAGAAGATAGGAAGGCACGCGCAAGAGCAGTGGTGTCATTTTAAGCAGAGACCCTTTGGCGTTCCCCCCGAAAGATAAAGAGCTACATCAGCACCAAACAGGCATTTCGGCATTAACTTCTCTACTGTATGATCCTGATGGTATTCAGATCAAAGTGAACATACATTCCATGTGGTCCTTGAGTTTTAGCTAGTTCGATCTAGTTCGCCTATGTTTCTCTTGTCAAATATGTTTCATTCAGGGCTTGGATGGATCGCCGAGTTTGCAGTCTGGAGTCGTATGTAGTCCAATGTTTTCAAACAGACGATACTAATATGACAATTATACCAGCTACAATTAGATAGATAAAGATAGTTAGACAAGATATATTATATATTATTATTATTATTATTATTATATATATATATGTATAGATAGATAATATAAGAGTAGAGTAGACTAGATGCAGACAAATATATATATATATATATATATATTTACAAGTAGATGGATCGATAGATCAACCGATCGATTTGATGTGTATATATATATATATATACAGGCAGATAGGATCAATGTAACAGTATTTGTTTTGTAAAGTATATGTGTGCACTTTTGTGTATGTTATGCATGTGCATACATATATGATCAGACATATCTTCTCATATATAGGGTTACTTAAATGTATATATGTGATTATACAAATGTATGTGACTATATGTACGTATGATTGTGCAGGTGTAAATATACATTTGAGATGCATTTCACCCTTGAATGCCGCTAAGGACACCGCAGATCGAAGGTTTGACACTCGGAATTCATCTGCACCAAACAGGCCGACAAGGTTCTTATGGGTACAACAGTCAAAAAACTTTCAACTGGATATGATGATGGTTCCAAACATTTGTCTTTTCAATTGTGTGGTCTTGCCCATCCAACCTGGGATTGATGATGATTGATGATGGTTGATGATGATGATGATGATGATGATGATGATGGTGATGGTGATGGTGATGATGATGATGATGATGATGATTATTGTGATTGATGATTGTGATGGTGATGATGACAATGATGATGTTGATGAGCATGAGGATGATGATGATGGTGATTGATGATGATGGTGATTTTGATGATGATGATGATGACGACGACGACGACGACGACGATGATGATTTTGATGATGATGATGATTATTATTATTATTATTGTGATTGATGATTGTGATGGTGATGATGACAATGATGATGTTGATGAGCATGAGGATGATGATGATGGTGATTGATGATGATGGTGATGATGATGATGATGATGATGATGATGATTGATGATGATGATGATGATGATGATGATGATGATGATCATGATGATGATGAGTGATGGTGATGGTGATGGTGGTGGTGATTGATGATGACTGATATAAATGAAGATAGTGATGATTTAGCCATTGTTTGGAATATGTTGGAACCATCAGCCAGACATATTTATTGTATATGTTGACCATTGTTGACCGGACACCATCAGGATGACACCATGAGGACACCATGAATAGCTGCCAGGCAAAAGCGGGAAGAGAACTCTCTGGACACATGATTTTTATTTAAAGGAACATCTTTCATTGAATACAGGTTTCCTTGTTCGTTGTATCAAATATAGGTTCCTGCAGATTTTTTCCGGTGAACTAACCCAATGAAACACAAAGCAAGTGGAGGTCAGTTTGAGATGATCGTCAAAGCTGAGGATCTGAATATTCAACGGTTTTTGAGGTGGGGCCCCAACAACTGAGCGTTTCTCAAAATTTAAAATGGGGTAATGTGGGCGACCCCAGAATCATCCAGGTTGCGTCATTTAAGATACGAAAACCTATGGTCTTGGGGTACCTCCACGTTGGACACAATTTCAGCTAGGCCAATTGTTGGGTTTATGGATGTTAATGGTGGACACAGTTGAATCCTAGTCCTCTCATGTCGTTATGGCCGGCAGCTGTCCCGTGGGGCCACCTATCATCATTCTCAACAAAGTCCTATTTGTTTGCTGGTTAGATATACCCATTTGTCGGGCTCGAACTCAACTTAAGTAAATACCATTAAATCATATTAAATTCCCATGTTTATATTGTTTATAGAACGTTACACCTATGTTTATCCCGTTGTTATTTACCTATCGATCTTCGGTCACGGGATCCGAGGATTGCATGTCGGGTTTCCAGCACTGGAGTGAAACCTGGACAGAGAGCAAGAGCCACGGCAGGAACGTTGGAGTAGCGCGGTTTCTTGTTTTTTTTTGGTTAAAAACGATGAATACAATAAATATGATTACACACATGTAAAAAACATAGAGAGATAGATATAGATAGCATATTAATGTGTATGATGTGATATGATATATATATACGTACATACGTATGATGATATATTATATATGTACTGTATGTATGTATATATATATATAATTATATATTTATATAGTATGTTGTTTTTTGTTTTTAATTCTATGTATAAATACATTTGAATATATATATATATCATGCTGAAGATCCTCATTTTTTTTTTGAATTCCATATCCTACCATATCCTTCCTACTGTAGGACGGTTAATTATAAACAGATACATAGTGTGGTTTATAACTAAGATTGGAGAGTATGACCAGGTTTGGTACAGACTGGTCATGTGATGAAATGCTTTGGAGCATTGCGACCACATACATGGTTGTCCACGATCAGTAAGTATATTCAAATTGTTTTGTCAATACATGTCAATACATTGGGCCAGTCCCATTTCCTTGGTTGCATGATCCGCGGAGTCTGACAGGGTTCTAATTTTGTATGGAACGAACAGAGAAGCTCTAGTTCAAAAGCAGTAGCAGTGGGTCCAGAGTTCCCCCAAAAAATGACACAGTTTGGAAACGGCATGTTGTAATGTGCTGCACTGTTTTCATGGGATCATGCAGAGTGCCGTTCCATAAATTTGCACGGTGCATCGTTATGTCAATATGCAACTTCATGTACCCTCCGATAATCAAACATGGCAATGGGAAAAAAACCGATTACCCTCTGGTGAACTAACATAGCAATGGAAAATGGCCATTTATAGTGGATTTTCCCATTAAAAATGGTGATGTTCCATAGCAAAATGTTAGTTCACCAGGCCGGGTATATACTCTGAATGGAGCTTTTCCAGCCAGCAGAATCAGCCATGGATTTGGTGGATTTTCCAGCCTGCTACCTCTAAATCCACTGGTGCATATTGGTGTATTATCATTTTCCCATTGGAATCATGATCCCAGATGTTCAATTTCCATTCTGAATGATTTTTGCCCTACTACAACGACTAAATCAGACATAACCTTTGGGGTTAAGTCACTGCTAAGTCCCCCATGTTCAGACAGAGATGCGACAACTCCCGCAAAAAACGGCCGAGGAAGGACTGGTGTTGCAAGACATACCATGTCGCCTGCAGCCCGTCAGCGGCTTGGCCAGGTGATCACGGTGATCAGGATTTGCATCGGGCGACATGTCACTTATCTGGTAAATTACCTATGGTAATTATACCATATGCTCAGGTAGTGGTAGATGTCACTATCACTATATATTACTATATATATATAATGATGACTCATAAATCATCATGTTAAATTGGTAAATCATCATGCTTAATAGGTAAATCATCATGCTTATCATGTGGTACAACACAAGATTATATAAACCCAATAAGACAATAAGAAACCATAAGAAACCCCAATTGGGAATGGCTCTTATTGTTGGGCCCCTTATCAATGGAAATCATGGCTTTTGCCCTAAAAAATAGCGGCTTTTCCGGTCAACTGTCTCGAAAACCAGACCATGTCTGGGTGAAGACCCATACAAAATGGCTCCAAAATTCCTGTTGATCAGGCCCATCCTCAGGCGATCTGCTAATGATGATTATATATTATATACTATATATTCAAACATTACATTAACCACGAAGACTTGTTGAGTCTTTTTGGATGGAACATCATCTTTGAGTCTTTGGGTTATGATATGGCTATGGCGGCTATAGTATGCAAAAAAGTCAGTTTCAGATATTTTCCTGATATAAAAAACCATCCGTTTCACCATTTATTTGGTGGGTGTCCTCAACGGCCCGGGCACGTGCCAAGGCCCAATATGATTGCGCTGCGGGCTTCGACAACTGGCGAGCGGGTTGGTCTGACGCGAAGAAATCCTGGTGCTGCTCGTACCTTGATTTCTGAGGGGATCCGAGCAGCTGGGATCCGGTGTGTCCTAAATGGTGCTGGGATGGTTGCCCAATAAACAAAGATTATATCTTATTATGATATCTATGAAAATCTATGACTGATGATTATGGTTATTCAATGCTATTCATCCCTATATTCACCTTCTAGCAGCCTATTCATCCTATTCATCCTTTTGATGTTCAATTATGTTCAAGTTTGTGACTTATTCTGTCAGATTCAACCAGACTGAATATGTGACATGTAGACGGCCTTGGCAGCTTTGAATTGAGGCATGAACAGAAGGGCTGTTCCACTACACCCTTCGATTGTGAAGCGGGCTATGCCAAATGGAAGACCGGCTGGTCTCCCAAAAAGAAGGCCGTATGGCGGCGTGAAGGGGCCGGAATCAGCGGTGGAGGATCTCAAAGCAAGGGTTCAACCCAGTTGATACTTCTGGGCGGCTTAACAAGCATCTAGCCTGGTATTTGTTGAAGGTAGCAAGGATGTAAAACACAATGTTTTGTTGTTCATTCCTATGTCTCGGGAATGCCAGTTGATGTACGGTATTTGTTCAGGTGAGTTGCGAAGCCACGCCATGGGGCTGAATCTTTGTCATAGTAGTTTTGAAGGAAAATCACCATTCAGGGTGCGTGCTTGTCAATGTCCATGTCGTGTGACCTGACGTTGATGTTAGGATATATATATATATATAAATGGGTATATATAAACGGATACTATTGACATCTATTGACTATTGGGAGTCTCCTTGAATCTGGACTTTTGACAATCTGCCTGGAACAATGGTTTCTGATCTTAGTCACTGGAACATCTCTTTGTGGGCGGATGGTTTACCATTACCCGACGCACCAGGCATGGTGTTGCGACCACGAACACCGGGGCTGCCCAAGTTCTAAAAGCTACAATTGCACTGCTGGAGTGAAGACATGGAAAAGCGCTTGGTCAGAGCATAAGAAGCTTGACCGGTTTCTGCTTTCAAGTTCGCCATGGTTGAATCCTGGGTAATACCCATGCTGGGGGATGGTTATTTGAGCATTTAAAAAGAATACCCAGGTACTGCCCAATGCAATGAATCCCGAAGGGTGGTTGGATAACCAGCTATCAACTTCTCTGACCATGGTTTCAATACATTTTTATCGTGTTCCTCTTAAGAGTTTTTATGTGGTTTCCATCTATGGGATGAAATTCCAACTTCAGTCATCACATCTCAGAACTAATGAGCCATAAGCATCCACAAGCATTATTTTTAGATGGGGTCCAAGCTTCCACAAAGTTGATCAGATTCACTTACCAATTTTCACTGAGTAGCCTTGAGAATCTTCCACCCGGTTTTTTGATATCTTATTTGATGGGCAACACATCTAGGATGACTTATAGGCATAGGTCAAAACTCAGTACCCGCAAGAATGGCTGGTCCAGAAAACTGAATAGATGAAAGCCTCGCACCTTCGCTACACACGGCACTGCCATCAGGAAGCACTACTGCTGTGAACATGCGAAGGTGGGTTGCAACGCCCACCATGACTCCCAAGGCAACCAACAATCGGGCGCAGGGGAGGTGCAGGGTCCATGTCACCTCTTACAACACACTTATGGAGTAAAGCATCAAAGGTCAGGTTGCAATATGCAGAATTAAGGTGATTGTACAAGGTGTTGTTTGTGTTGTGGGAGGATCTCCCTATGCCATACGCATCACTTTTTGTTGCAATGCCAATAGGTATATGTATTTCTAGGATGTTATGGACCGATAAATGAGTTTAACTTGATCATTCCTGCCGGGCGACTATTTGGCGAGAGCGTATCATCAACAAAAATGCAGCGTAACCAACAACAATGAGGATTTCACCCGTTGCCAGGGGGGCCATCAGATTCTCAAATAGTTGATGCAAGGGATACAGTTGAAGAAATATGAATACATACATATTGTAAAATATTGTAAATATAATGTCCTGTATATAAACATTACACATACAAATCATACAAGTGTGATATTTCATGTAATATTATGATCATATGACATATACGTATATATATATATAGTATATCAATGAGAGATTTCCCAGCCACCTCCAGGTGCGCTAGTACGTTCGCCAGCAATGTTTGTGTCTGGCCTCAGCCACAGACGCTTGGACATGAACCATTCGTGGGGATTGGTCAAAGCCCTTTTGCCATAGTTTGGGGGATTGAGATTAATATCATTAATATCCCAGTCACCAGGATTTCAACGTGAACTAGAGAAGCTTCCATGAATTTTGGCCTATACAGGTAACCAAATTGGGTTTGTATCATTGATATACACATATACATACACTCACATATATATATATATATATACATATTACCCTCTGGTGAACTAACATAGCAATGGAAAATCACCATTTTTCATGGGAAAATCCACTATAAATGGCCATTTTCAATTGCTATGTTAGTTCACCAGAGGGTATATGAGGGTATTCATGACTGGCCAAAAACAGCAACTTTAGGGCTCACAATCCTGGGACCCAACCAATTCGTTCATGATTCGCCACTGTTGCTGGGAAAACTCCGTTGGAAAGAAAGAAACATGTAGGACACCCAATAACCTACCATTTGGGAATGGTTCATATCACTCATTTAAGTCGTTTATGTAGTAATATAATGTAATATAGTTTGGGGATGGTTACCATGAAATTGGGCTTACCACATTAGTAGAACACATTGTTAAGATCGTCTTAAAAACTCCTGCTATTGCTGGCGCACTTCTTCTTCGTCCAGGATCTCAACAAACAAATACTTTACTTTGAGTGATCCCCATCCTGACATATTATTCTAACACTCTGTCTGACATTCTATTTGGCATATTCTGGCATTCTATCTGACATATATTCTGACATTCTATCTGGCATTCTACCTGACATACATTGTTCTGACATTCTATCTGACATGTGTTTGTGTCCAGGCGATGCCCACGGGAAGCAAGGGGCAAGGGAAGGAGTGAGGGAGCGAGTGAGTGAGGCGTGAGGAGTTGCACCTTTGTCAAAACCTAGAGACCCTCACCTCGCAGGTGTGGAACAAAACGACAGGTCCGACAGGAAGAAGCCAAACCAGACTATAAATTGACATATAGTCGAACATAGTCGAACATGTTTAACAGAATCGGGGAACCGCACAAGGTTAATCGATATAGTTTTTCTATGTTTTTCTATTAGCTTACACTAGTCTCGAAGAAACATTAAACAACATTATTATTGCATGATCGTCATAGACAATACTTTCGAGCCACAACAGATAGTAATTTGCATGCTGGATTTATGTTCTTTTGTTTCCCGTGTTTGGAATTCACCGACCAGTAATGAGTGATGACATCAAACGACAAACTCAGAGTTTCAGTTTCCGACCATGGCAGGGAAACTGGTACTGTACTAGGGTCACGGATTCTTTCATTACATATCATTACATCATTAGTGAACAGTGTCACCTTCGTTTTTGAACATGGTTTCTCTCAAATTTACGCTGGTTTTCGTGGTCCTTCGCGGTTTTCGGGGCTTAACCAAGGCCACCACTACAACCATCGCAATCATCACGATCATCACGACCATAACGACCATAACAACCACCATGACGACCATGACCATGACGACCATCATAACCGTCGCGACCATGACGATCATGACCCTGGTGTGGAGACCCAGGACGCCTACTTCAGCTCCACTAATCCCAAAAATCAAAAAAGGGGGTTGATTGAAGCGACCAAAATGGTGGTATACAGCAGCCATGGTGGGGATGTGGGATACAATATGGGATACTTTGATATATTGCATGCATGCAGACAGACAGACAGACATTATTGACCAACGATTTCAGACGACGTTTCTCAGAATGTATTCCCCCAAGATATTTCAATGCACTGGGAAACATTATGAGAAAACATTGGGTTTGAGGGTGCCCTCTCTGTGGACCATTCCAGGGGCCGAAAATGGCTTTTGACCCACTAGCACACGTGATGGTGACATTCCATAGTTATTATGTTAGTTTACCAGAGGGTACCTGGTACCTGATCTTACCTGTCACTGTGTAAGATGATTCTCCCAACTAGCGGGAATTTGCAAAGATATGTATTTCATTGCATGACCATATTTGAAATGGTTTCCGAACATGAGGGAGATGCCAAAGGAATCGTTTTCGGAGGGTACTTACTCTCCACCATTATAGAACTTGTATATGTATAATAATATACTATGTAATAGTATAATATAATGTGATATATATATAGTATAATATAATATAATATACTATACTATAATATAATATAATATAATGTAGTGTAATATAATATAGTATCCAGCGGTCACTTAGAATAAAAAACAATGATATTTTCGAATGAGTTTTCCTGGGTGATGATTTTTCCCTGGGTGATGGATATTCTATGTGGATGATGCATTGTTTACCACTTAGAATACTGAAAATTATGCACATAGAATACAACACTACTACAAAATGCTACAAGTTGAGCATGAATCGAATCATCATGTTGCATCGCAATGTCCACATTTAACATATTCACATTGACAGGTGCAATCATTTTGAACACCTTCCGGATTTCCCTAGGTGAAAGCACCATTCCCTTCCAAATGTGGTTGGACATACTCGGGTCAAACCTATCAACCTGTACACTGTACACATGAACAAATTTATATGGTATGGTGCATATCAGTGTCAGGTCTAGCGATATGACAACAACGTGTATGGTAGAATCGCCCAACTATGTACCTGTATTTTGTTTGTTCATCTACGTCGTTGAGCAGCAATGTTGTTCTTCTGCTTGCTTTTTCTTCCACTTCTTTGTCGCGCCTGCTGGCGTCTCATGTGAAACATGAAGATTGGCACAACTGCTGGAAAATATTCTATGTGCATTGTTTTAGGCCCTTTTCACAAAGGAACCAGGGCAAAAAGGAAAAACGCCACCCCAATCCACCTCAGTGGATTCACATTCCGCTCCTGTTTTTTTTGCTTGGTTTGTTTTCTTTCTCTGTTGTTGTTTCTCTGTTGCCGCGTTTACCCTGTTGGCGAAAGCACAAAGACTAATCCCGAACACGGGGGAAAAAGAGCACTGGCGGATGATTTGCTTGGAGAGTCTTAACATGTCTTAACACATTGATCAAGTAACCTTATATATATATATACATATGTATATAATAATATATATGACTCCATATTCTGAGTGTAATTTCCATATTCTATGTGGAGGAAATCCAGGAGTGACTTTTTGGATCTATTTTCCATATTCTAGGTGCAACTCATTTATTTTTAATATTCTATGTGTCAGCCAGTTACTATAATATATTATACTACAACATATTATAATACACCATATTACAATATATATTGTTTTTACAATATAACACATATGCGTTATTTTGAGTAGATATATTTATATATGATATTTGCAGTATATTGTTTTTTTAGCATATTATAGATTATATCTTGTATATATATTATATTAAATATTGTGTTCAGTTTATCTTTTTTGTTTTTAATTAATGATATTATATATAATATATATGATATTAAACATATACATATATATATATGTAATGTATGTATGTATGTATGTATGTATGTATGTATGTATGTATGTATGTATGTATGTATGTATGTTAGAAATATGATTTGGTTTAATATTTACATTATATGTAAGGTATATATGATATTTTTATTTTGTATAATAAATATATGTCATATAAAAAAGTATATAATATGGTTTTATCAAATATTCATTGTGTATTATATTGTATAATATTTATTTATCATATATAATATATAATACATGAAATAGTTCATATAATATATATATATTATTATTCAATATATATATATAATATTATTTAAATATATAACATTTAAATATATGTAAAATATATAATATCAAATATAATTTCAAAAATATATAGAATATAGAATAAACTACATTTAATATATATATAGTTTAATATAATATATATATATATTGTTTGTAAAATATATATTTAATATAGTATATATATAATATTTACAACATATAGAATATGTTGTTTTTTTTTTTTTTTTATAATATATACAAAATATATTTTATATAATATACATGATATAGAATATACATGTAGAATATGTTTAAAACATGAAAAATAGTATTACATAAAAAATAGTATTATTTGATTTTTTTATTTTTATTTTTATGTTTTATTTTTAAATATATATATATGTATTGTGTATATATGTAGTATTTTTGAAATAACGTATATATTTTTTTTGTCTATATATACCTGATTTTTTTGTTTATTGTTTTTAAATTTACTATATGCTATTTAGATATATAGATATATAATTCATGTTTGTTTTTTTTGCTACTAATAATGATACTTGACACATATTGTATATTATATTTATCATATTGAAAATAAATATATATATATATATATACATATTATATCAAATATAAACTATATACATATTCTGTATATATATATATATAGAGACTATATATCTATTTCATTTATATCATGTAAACAATAGGATGCGTACACATATATTTGTGATATATTGCATGTTATCTACAATTTCAAAAGAATATAATATATGATTTGTATATACACTCAATTTCATTGATTTTTGATATAT